AATATCTTTTTACTTTGGGCAAGCAGCGTCCTGAACAATCACAAGCTTCAAGTCTCCATCAATTTAGACAGATAGTTAAAAATTGGGGCACAGCTCCATCACCCTCTGTGAGCCTGTCGGAGAGCCCTTGCACCGACGCATAATGGCATGCGTGTCTCCGTACCGACGCAGACAAAGAAGCTACAGCAGAACTGTTTACGACAGTCGTAATTCCACTTTCAACCAGCAGGGCGGAGGAGCAGGAAACTGCTTAGTGTTAAATCTGACTGAAAACTCACAAATGAGTGGTATTTTTTCCATCGGATTCATAATCCTGTCCCCTTTTGTAAATTTATCTTTGATCAAGACAATATAAAGAAAAGTACATCTAAACAAACAGAAAGAAAAAAAAACTTTAATCAAAATACTTCATTCACTCTAGATTAAATTTGCGGTGTGAGAGATGAAACGCTCAAGCAAAAACAGAGCATGCCTGCTGGAGGCCACGCACACGGCGCCCAGTCTAAATCATTCTAATCACCCGGCCCACTCGTTGTATAATAACACGCTGCAGCGAGGAAGAGAATCCCCCACCAGTCAGAGCCATGCTGTGTGTCTCAGCTTCCCCCATACACTTTGTCAAACTGGAAGAAGCTGCACACTCCGACACACACACACTGAGTGCAAATGCCTCACTGTGTCACGTAAACAGCATCATTATGAAATCTGCAACCTGAAACACTGACCTGATTTTAACGGAGAGAAACTTTATTCTAGGAGAAAGATGTCATCACGTAGCTCTTTTGTTAATTGGTTTAAGATTAGAAGATTAGGATTTGGCTGTTTTGTCTTCTCCGATTAAGATAATAATTTTTATGCTTGTTAAATAATTAGTAAAAACACAATTGTTGTTTTCTTATCATGAATGGCGTGTTTGGCATAGGTGTTCTCAAAGTTTAGTGTATGACTGTGTTAATGCAGTATTTACCCTTCTTGGGATTTAAAGGTGCAATCTTCCTTTTTATAGAGACTTCTTGTCTGCTGCCTGCTTCTTGCAGGCTGAGAGTAATCTTTAATTAGAAAGAACAGCAGAAACAGAGATATTTACCTGAGAATTAAAATGTGGGGGCTAATTGGTCTGACATCTGCAGGCAAGAGCACCTTAAGAAGACGTGATTGTTCAAATATTTAAATGGATTTTTTAGATCACAGTTTTAAATTTTATTACAACAATCAGTGCAATTAAAATAGTTCAAAACAATATTACATGGCACTGATAATACACTTTAAATAAGCAGAGGCCATAACACATTGGGAGTTTTTATATAATTCCTATTTTCTGGTCTTGGAGAGTCACTGTCCTGTGTGTTTTAGCAGTTCCCCTGCCCTAACACACCTGATTTTACAACTGAATCACCTCTTCAGCATGCTCTCAAGTTCTGACACGTATCAGTCACCCAGTGATTCATATCAGTTGTGCCGATGCAGCGGAACAGAAGCCAACTGATTTTGGTACATTTTTTCTGTTTTGTTGTCAATATGTAGAGGTCACAGTCAGGCAAAGGCCAATTTTTGGGGCTGTTTTGTATGGCCGATATCTCGACATTTTCCACCTTGTTTTCATGCAAAATGTCACTAATAACATCAGTTGATGCTCAAAATCTCTGAAGCGGAATCAGTTTTTGAACTCTGAATAAAACAAACCATTACATTTTATTTTTGTGCACTGCTCAGTGTTAAAGTCAGACATCTAACTAAAGAAACTCAATTAACTGATCAAGTATTTAATATTCAAAACTGGTAAATAAATAATGTTTTTGTTGAAGATAATTCTTTGGTGCATTTATTATTCTGATGATATTCAGGAACAACAATATATATTTAAATATAATTCTGCAGCATCACCGGGCTGGCTATGAATGTGCCTGACTTTAAATCGGCTTTACTAAGGAGATATATCAGCCGGTGCATGATGTATAAAAATGGTAAATATCAGTCCCATACATTGGCCTACTGATATATTGGTTTACCCTACACGGGACCATGGAAAACATGCAGGAAAAAGTCCTCAAGGGCGAGGGCTGGATACACTTGACCTAAAAGGTTTACATCAACACAAAGTATCTTTTAGTTGGGAATTATTTATAACATTTAAACACATTGTAGTTATGCAGTCATAATGTTGCCTAGTATGGAGATTGCTGTAAAATCTCAGATTCTAGTCAGTGACTCGATGCAGTCTGCTGGGTTCCTTATATAGGAAACTTTATACTGATTGGCTAAATGAACTTACCTGTATTCATGGACGTAATTTTGGGGGGGGACAGGGGGGACATGTCCCCCCCACTTTTTCCAAAGTCAAGTTTTGACCCCTGCACTTTTTACCATCCAAAAATAATATTACTCTATATTAAATTGACACTGGCTGAGCACTAGGACCAAGCGGAAAACAACCGTTGAAGCCGGTTTCCCATTAGAACATACTGTAAAGATACCCCCCCCCCCCCCCGTGTCCCCCCCACTTCTAAAGTGAAAATTACGTCCTTGCCTGTATTGGAATGTTTACTGTGTGAAGTGCCTTGAGACGACTCTCGTCTTGATTTTGCGCTATATAAATAAACTGAATTGAAATTGAATTGAATATGAAGTTCAAAACAGACGTGTACATTTACATAAATAAAATATGGAGCTTTTTAAAGATGTAAAAATAAACGACTTTTCTAGGTTCTACACTAGCTTTTTATTCAGGTTATTTAGAGCTTTTTGCGTAGCATTGTGGTGTTATGGGTTAGATATGTGAGCGCTCGCTGGTTATCTGCAAAGAGTTTGCACATTTGTTTCTGTATGAGTTTTCTACTGCTCCAAAGACATGCAATTGATGCAAATTGGTGAAAAATGGCTGATAAAGAGTGGATCTTACTGGGCTACAATAGCTGGTTTTACAGACAAAACTGCAACAAAAAAATGCATATTTTCTTTTGTAATTACACTAAATTGGCATTTTTGCCATCAGTATTATATGTTTTGTTTGTGTCACTGTCACATGATGTTTCAAAACAATTCGCAACACTCCTGCAAATTTTCTTCATGAAATGTTAGCAAAAATCTGAATTTACCCTATTTTCACAACTTGGTCACCAATCCCTTCCCAAAATAACTTTAAAAGGGTTCCAGAAGCCTGTGCTAAATTCATTACGAAATAAAATATTTTGACTTTTCGCAATTCCAGCAACATAAAACCAACTGAGAATTGAGGGCCATCATCAGTGTTTGGAAACAGAAGGCACATGCAAACATTGATGATTGTCATGAGAGGATTATTACATATTTTGCCAGTGATAATTCTGCAGTTATAAATTGCTAATTGAATGTCAGATTAGAACAGAATAATTACTTTGGTCCTTATTGAGATCACAATTATTTAACATGATGAGTTCACATTTTAAAGAGACTCTCCTTTAAAATGTAATTAATGCCTAACCCTTATTAATAGTAATAATAAATTAACAAGGTGTGAAAATCATGGGTGTTGCTGCATCTTGCCTGGTTGAGTAAGAACAAACACTCCGGCATACTTTCTGTACTGGACAGATAAGCAATGGAGACTTAGCCATACCAGAGTAGAAATAAATTATCCAACACAAACAAGTATTTTTGTGTTTGAGTAAGATCTTACCAACGGATGCCCATTAGGGTCAAAAATCCCTGGGAGCGCGACCTTCAGCAAAATAACGAGCACATCAGACTCCCTTTCATCACTGGCAACGAGTGAAGAAGTAAATGTGGAAAACAACAACATTTATGAATGGTGAAAGTTTTGTAACCGCTTGTTATAAATCAGTAAACTAATTTTGTCCTCATGGGCTCCTGTAGAAGGAAATATGTCGTCTAATATGACGTTGCCCCGAGATTTAGATCTGCTCCCATTTTAGACCCAATTTTTATAGTTATAGTTATAACGTTGCTAATTTTTCTCAACAACTGGGCATCATTTAACTCATTTTCAACAACATTTTGATGAATATTTCCAGAGATTAGAGGTAAAAATGACACATTGTTACTGCAGCCCTATAGCTGCTGGTGATAAATTAACCCTGAAGTTATAGTAAAGCTTAAATATTATATGTTCATCTCTTATTTGCCTCCCTTCGTCTCACTAAAGCATAGCCCTGTATTTAAAACTGTTAAATTGGAGAAGAAAAATAGTGGTAAAGCCACAAGATAGGTGCTTAATTAAGACCCAAGTGCAGTAATTAAAATGCAGATTGACCTATTGAACCTGAGTGTGTAAAAATCAGTCTGAAGGAGATATGAGGCTAAACGAGCAGCTATTTCCGGTTTATTCTTATTGCATCATGAGTTTAAATGAAGGTGAATCTCGTGAGAAAAGACTTGATGTGAACTTTCACGTGTTAAAATGTGGAAAATGCTAAAAAGCATGTGATTTGTGAGGAATTATTAAGTTTGGAAGGGCATTAAAAACAGAGTGGGCGCTAGAGGACACTTCCCCGGTGTGTCCTGCAGCTGAGTGGTCCTCTGTGGGTCTTTGGTTGGACAAGAACAAGGGGGCCACTCCGACCCTCCGGAGACACGCTGCTCTTATTGGTCCACATTAAATCTTTTGTTTTGACTCTCACGGCTGAGAATCCAGCATCTCATCAATGAAAGTCTCCTCTTATAGAGACACTGGAGCGCACCTTTACCTGGGAGTCTCGATCGGAAGCGTTTTACTGTGTTTTTAAACTGACTGATCCATTTCCACACCACGGCAGCTATTTGTTCCATCTCCGTCTGATTCACAAGTGAGACGAGAATCAGAGCGTCGAGGAGCTGAAAGGACTCCGTTATATTAGTGATGTTGAGGATGATGGTGTCTCCGCGTGTGTACAAAGAGCACTCAGACAAACTTTTCCGTCTGCAGAGAAGGAAAAATGTATCTCATCTTCAACAATAAAAGGCAAACCCGTAACAACAAAACCCAGACTAAAGACATGAACCATGACAGAAGAAGTGAAACCTACCGTGAGTTTGCTGCTCGCGCTCATGCGATCAACCGGATAAAACAACTTCTCACCGCCAGCTCCGGGATTTCCATTCCGAACATCAGTAACGCAAAATAAATCCGCCCGGTTCTCGTCTATTCCTCTTCCTCCGGCGCCTGGATGAGAACAAGTTGGACAGTCTCTGCTGTGAGGCTGTGAAGCTGCCGATGTGAACGGAGGGAGTGTATCTGAGAGCCTGTTTACTGCCGGAGAGGGGGAGGGGGCATGCCCCCCCCCCAATGGTTTGTTTGGATAATCTCAGTAGAAACAGGATAATCTGGAATATCAGATCATAAAATATCTATCTACAGCCAATTTTTTTTTTTTTTGCAAATAGTCGACTCTCATACGTGAACATAATATTGCTGAGATTTGAAAAATAATTAAAACTGTTGAAAAATTATAAATAACTAAAGATCAAGTGTCTCAAAATAATTAAAAAAATTGAAGAAAAGAAAGTACTTTGTCCTACTATGTACACACAGGGTCTCAAGAGGTTAATTAAGCCAAATCATTTGAAGCACACAGAAAACGTCCTTGCAGAGTTTGACGATATAGGATCATTTCATTTCCAGATTGGGTTATAGGGTATATGACTAATTTCAATTTAAACGTGCAATGTGTAAGAATAGAGTAATAGTGGCATCCTGTGGTCAAATTTGGTTACTGCAATCTCAGTTTCTTTGGCGTTGCCAGATAGGGATAGGAAACTAAAATGTATGTTTCATCATGAAACACTAAAATGTATGTTTCATCATGAAACACTAAAATGTATGTTTCATCATGAAATACTATCTCTATTTTAACTAGGGATTTTCCGATCACGTTTTTTTTTTTTACCAACACACGAGTAAATCCAATCCAATTCCAAGTCATTTGATTTTAAAAATCTGCCAATGCTTGGTGTGGAACCTTAAAAAAAACTGAAATGCTCATGTGGGTGTTTCGACCATGCCAGTCACATACTTTGAGATTTATCAGCCTGTAAAAGTTTGTTATTAGCATGAATACAAGCCAGTATGTCGCATATATGATGTCACCACAGAATCTCCTCTCCCCTAGCGTAGCTGCTACTTACCACATGGCCAGATATATGGTGGTTCTTTCCTTCTGAAGGAAGGATTTCAAGTTCGCTAAACTTACAACCATTTTCCCTCAGTTTTTCTCTGTGTCTGGTTTGATGACATCACTTTCATGAAGCACATTTGTAGTCCTGGACTTATTTTCCCTGCAAACAGTCAACGTCGCATGGACGTGCAGATCATGACTATGTTGAGTCCTTCGGTCTAGACCCCGTCTGTAGGACGTCCAACTAGGTCTTTGCACAATAAACAAAACCTAAAATAACATTTTCCTCAGGTTCGAAAATAAGCACACTCTTGGTATCAAAATGCATCTTTAAAATTCACAAACATCATATGTAAAATCCACGACACATTACAAGTGGAATTAAAAAATTGTGGTTTTACCCCCATTGACTTGCATTAATTTTCTTGTTTTTCCATGGTAGTTTTTCCGGTAGTAGATGGGAGTGACTTGGCTCCCTGTGTGCTTTTTGGGCCATTGCAACACAGAGAGTCACAGCATGCGAGTAATTGTCAGATGCAAATGTAATGCAATAGAAATTTCCAATTACATTTTCCTTTGAAGTAATTTAAATTTTGTAGTCGGAAATCTTCTCATGGTTTCATCTGAGATCATCTGGCATAAAGCGTGCTGTCTGCTGCGGGTAAGATATTGACTTACCATACCTCACACAACACTCACGAATGAGGGCTATCCCTTTAAAGCTGCCGTGACAAATCTGCAAAACAAGCTAGTTTTTAAATATAAACACTGTCATGGAACGCTCACCCTTCCCGTCGGCTAGTACATCCACCTGATACTGTAACGCAAATTGCCAGAGGAAACAGGAGACCAGCCTACTAAACACCAATCTTACCACTACATTATTATTTTTTCATTGTTTTATTTTTTTTATCTCCACAATGTATTTGTAGCTATGTTAGAATGTTTTTAGGAGGCAAGAAAAAATGTCTTAAGCTAGCTTGTTTTGCAGATTTCCTATTGTAGCTGTAAGTCACATGACTGATCAAGTGTTTTTGGTTCTAAAGCCGAAAGCAGAAACAGTTCTCTATCACAACTTTTCTTAAAGTTGATTTGAAAAATTCAGAATTCTCATTGTTTTCCCCAAATCTTTTTCAACAATACCGGATGTTGTTTGTTTCTTCCTCCCTGAGAAACAGTTTTCACCCAGCGACCCCACAGCCATGAGTAACTAAGACAAATAAAGCATACCTTCTGACAGCTGTTAAGTTTATTGGCTAAATGATCCATAGTGGTATTGATGAGAATGCCACACTGCAATGCACGCTGATTGTCAATGGGGATGCTATTAGATCTGCAAGAGTGCACAGGTTTCTTTATGTATACATTTTTATTGACCACGTCGTCTGATGAGGTGGCTCTGAACCTGCAGGCACAAACGTGGCAAAAAGTGATGCATTTAAATAACTCACCAAGCCAAGGGTCTCTGGCCTGTGGCTCTGGGGGTAACACACAGCTCTTTAGTCCTTTTGCAGAGGCTCTTTCTGGCTTTGATCAAACTTACATTGAAGGTAAATTTTACTTTTACCTGTTTTACTGTCCAGTTTTAGGCAAACATGGGTTTAAAATCACTAGAAGAAACGTAACGACACAATAAAACAGATCAGCCATTTTGCTTTAGCTGATTGTTAGCGTTTTAGTTAATCCAACTTCCGAAACTTCCCGATCTTTTTCTGAAACAACCAAGAGCAAACGTTTTAATTGTATTTAAGTAAGAAGCTGAAAGAAAATAAGATTAATATAAGATGCTAAATAAGACATTCGGCTTAAAGGTGCCAAGTTTTTAGAGCAATTAGATATTAAAGCTTCACTTTGGATAAAAAATTAACAAAGGTAAATTATTGATATTTCTTATAAGAAAATAATTAAATCCAAATTAAATATTCAATAACTGGACTAATTTTCATGTCAACACCGACAATTTATTAGGACGTGCTTAATATTTCGAACTACTTGCTAATTTTCCACAGATAATGGTTTGGTGGTTTATTTTGTTCTAATGTGAAAATCCTTTTACATTTGCATAATTTATCACAAACCTTCAATATTACAGTGTAACTAAGTACCAGTTTAAATACAATTATGATTCTCATGTAGCTTAATCAGGGGTTTTTAAGCTCCAAGTTTGTTTTGCTTTTATAATCAAATTTGATCTCAGGGGAGACGGGACAGAAATGGCTTCTGGGTTTTAAATTTAGCAGATTCCTGCTCTCTAAATTTTGTAATAAAACATTTAAAAATATATCCTACCAAAGCCTGGCCCCTTGGGCCTTCTGCACACATGCAGTCCTGTGTTTTAGACAGAGGTTCAATGACAGTGAGTACATCAGACCGTAGAGCTCTGTGGAAACTGAGTTAAAATTCTGTTGAACTTGTTATTTTTGATGTACAAGCAGATTAAGCTGTGTTTAGCTGTATTTATCTTGCTCAAAAAGGTTCACCGCAGACAGAAATGGGAAATGATTCACCTTCATGCAGCTGAACGATTTAGAACCACATAAATCACCGCTCGACTGTGGTCACCATGCAGCATGTGGCTGTAGTTTGTCTGCGAGTGGGGGTTTCACATGAGAGTGTGCTCGGATGGGAAATATGCTCTTACACATCATGTTTCAGTAATCCTGCCACAGTTGTGTTCCTGTTGTTGAGTCTGTAATCATCACCACAATCACAGCACAAGTCTCCAGCATCTGTTACTACCAACATGTCCTTTTGTTTACTGCAACACCAAGACGAAGGGCATGGATTTTCAGGAATTTGTTCTCCCTGCTCTGATTTTCATGTCACCAGGCTGTATCTGATTCGTGGGTTATCTAAACCTAACAGAGCAATATACATCAAAAGTAGGTTGGACGGTTGGCATGGGCCGAGCATGTAATGCTAGGCTGTCTTTTCTACAAATCATCAAGTGCAAAGCATGTGAGTAACTCCACCTGCAGTTTACCCCAATCGCCTGCAGTGAGCTCCACTCTTGTTTTCTAATGAAGGTCAGCACTAATAACTAATATTGATGCACAAAGATTTGTGGAAATATCTGACAAAGTTTAATGTAATGCAGGTTGTCTTTGGTCATCACTTCCTGGTTTCCTGAAATATTTGGATTTACTGAAAAAACATGATAATCTTAAAAAATTATTTCCTTGCTTCCTTTTCTAACTGAGTTGGGAGCTAACTAACATATCCCACTCATAAAAAAAACAATTAATTTAACAAGAAATTAAACAGAAGTATTCTACCAAAATAAAAGCAGAGTGATAAGATCCCCTATGAAATGTCCCAGAGTCTCTTCAATGGTGTGCAGAGAGAACCAGGCAGAAACACTGATTAATACACGATTGAATAAACCTAAATAATCTTACTATCAAATAAAAGCTGAGATGTTAGATAAGGGTTCTCTTTTCCCTACTTTTACTTTGGTAGAATATTCAAATCGCTGCTGAAGGCTCACTTTTACGACCAGGCATTTTTAAATCCCTGACTTTTATTATTTTATTATGTGTCTTTTTATTGACTTTAATTATCTGCCTTGTTGTGCATTTTATTGTTGACTGTGTATTGCTTTATATTGTGTTTTTACTTTTTATTCTGTACAGCACTTTGGTCGTCTGCCATGCAGTTTTTAAATGTGCTTTATAAATAAAGATGGTATGGTATGGTATGGTATTTCTGTTTATTTGATTTGTTTCTATTTTAAATGAGCGCCTCGATGGTTGCTCTGGTGGTCTGCCTGTATCTGTTTTGTTCTTGGACAGGGTGTGCTGCAGAGACACATTTCTATGCTTCAGGACGCTGGGGCACTGACAATAAAGTTGAATCTGATTCTTCAAATAGAAATTAGACTCTATGGGGGTGATTGAAACAACAAGTGCAGCAGTGTGTTTTTTTATGGCTTTAATCCTGGCAGTGGAGAGGAACAACACATATGACGTCAAACAGCGATATCAAATGTGATGTCCTTCTTTTTGGTTTAATGGCGTAAACATTTAATGGCATAAACTTGAGATATTTTGTGATCTCGTGAGTTAAGCGAGGAGGACAGCTGACATTCTTCGAGTGTGCACTGGAGTGCAGCGATTGTTGCGTGTAAACATTTCTGCCACGGCGTTGCAG